TTGAGTATTATACTGAAGTCTGTCTGTTTTTGCTATTTATTTTGCGTTTTTGTTTTTGCGGCTCTTTTTTGTTTTGTTTTTGTGACTGTGTGGAACCCAGTTCAGCTACTGATTGATTGATTGTGTGCCTGCAGTACATTGTTTTATTGCTTTCATTTTATGGATCAATGGTCTCGTTAGAGTTAAATTGCTGTTTTAGGGGTTGTTTTTAAAAGTCTGCAGCGGATTAATCCATTTTGCATTACTTTCTATGGGAAAGCGTGCCTTGGTTTTTCAACACTTTGGTTTTGCAATGGACTTCCGGAACGGATTAAGTTTAAGAACCAAGGTACCACTGTTAAGGTACCATAAATGTTATTTTAAGAAAATGATGGTTGGTTGGCTGAAGATGAAACTATCTCTCTCTCTCTGTCTATCATCTATCTACATTTTTTCTTTTTTTATTCCTTACATTTAGATTCCACTTTTCCTCCAGTACCCATGGTTCACAAGAATTCACCCATCAGGCATTGACCAGGCTCAAACCTATCTATCTTCACCTTTAGACTATGCCCTGGGACCTTTTCTGTTGCAAAATGCTTTTTCTATATACAAGCAAATGACAGCTAAACACAAAGAGCTTCTGTTTTACACACAAGCTCTGCTCTGTTACAAATTATTGTTTTATTTTATGAAAAGACTACCATTCTTCCTTAGCAGGAAAAAAAATTCTATAGCAAAATTTTCTGGTTTTGCCATTAGCTAATTCACCCTCATAAATGCTCTCTCTCTCTCTCTCTCTCTCTCTCTCTCTCTCTCTCTCTCTCTCTCTGTGTGTGTGTGTAAACTTCAGTTTCCAATTGGTATTCTCAAGTCATATTTATTTCAGTGCAATATATCCATTAGTACATCTATTGCAGGTAAATTTGTTACTGCTTCAACATATAGGACATAACGTTGCAGCAATTTCATTTTACAAGCTAATAATATTCCGTAATGTAGTTTACAATATCATGTAGATGGATTTGATTAGGGAAGTTCCACCGTCAGACCGCTTGAATGGTGGATTAAAGGAGATTCCGATTTTAACTTATTTACTGTGCAAATGAACTACTGTCATGCACAATAAAATGTATTAATTTAACAGGTGCATCATTTTCCTCTCTCAGCTATTGAGTGAAAAGGAATAAATATTAAGAAATCCATTTTGATTCCAAATGAAGCACAGGTTTGAAGTGGGGTTTGGCACTTGACATTCTTACTCTGTTAAAGCGAATGCTAATCACAATTAGATATTTTGCAAACTTTGCATGGATTTCCTCCTCCTCTCTCTGGGGGTTCCAGAAAAGGTAGACAATTTGGTGCCATCAACTTGTGCCCAAACAAATTTCTCTTGACAGCTAATGGGATTTCAAATGCATTGGAATTAACTGACCATCATAGTCCAAGGCAAATTTTGCTGCCTACCAGATAGTTGATACTGATTCTGTTTAAAACTTTTGCCTGTATTGTGTATACTGGTCCAGTTTCTTGAATAATTCCAGAATTATTTGCTCTGCAGTCGAGTGCAAACCATGCTTCCTGTGGGACAATGTGACACTGATTGCTTAGGTGAGTTTTCTGGCTTGCCTTTTTCTCTCTACTCACATGAATATGATTTTGTGACTAGCTGACAATGCAGTTACAGTATATTTGGACTATGAAACGTGAGTGTTGGTGGGGGGAAAGACAAGAAATCAGTTAACTCAAAGTAATATGAGCTACTGCATGTGGAACATTTACCATGTGGAGGCCACTTTAAAGTGGTTTTTATGTTAGAAATAGGTAATTTTTTCACATCACTGCAGGTTCGTTATTCATTTGGGTGGCCTAGAGTGGCACGAAGAAAACAGTTTGATTGGTGGGGCCTTAATGTGTGACAGCCATCTTGCGTGCACTAACGCAAGACATTATGACGGTCTCTGTTTCACTGGCTGAGAAATGGTCACATGATTGTGTATCTTTTGGCGTTCCTAGTTAGAAAACAAATACCGTACTTTTCTGTGTATAAGACTAGTCCCCCCCTTTAAAATCATGCTAAAAAGTGGGGGTCATCTTATACATGGGTAGTGCATAGGGTGGACGTTTGATAGGTTGTTGCCGTGACTGTCAGCAGCTATTGTGCGTGTTATTGGTTGCTGCGTTAATGGCTGGTGTTGATTGGCCGACCCTGTGATTGGGCGGGTGATTGGCAGCTTCTGCCTGTGAGGGGAGAGACGGAAGGCTGATTGTGCAATGCACGTGGGTGAGCGATTTTCGGCATCCCCCCCAGAAGCTCAACAAGCCTTGGTAACCCCCCCAAAAAAGCTCAACAACTCTGGGCAATCCTCCCCCCAAAAAGCTCTACATCTTTGTGCCATCTCCCCTCATTTTCTTAAATTTCAGACCCCCAAAATAGGGAACATCTTATACATGGGGACGTTTTATACACGGGAAAGTACGGTATACATTACATGGCATGTTAGCAGAGAGGGAGCCAAAAACCATATCACAACTAGACTGTCTGCTAACCCTGCACTAGTGATTGCCTTTTGGGAAGGAACCTGATGACTTGCCACAGTTTGATATTTTTTTTGTCATTCTATTTACGTATTTTTAAAAAATATTTGCATGGCAAAGATTCAGATCCTGAAAGGCAGGATATAAATAATTATAATAAATGGATGATACACAATTGATGAGGAACTCTGCTTCGGTGAAGGAGAGTGAGGGAGAGAAGCTCCAGTGCCTGAAAGTGTGGGAAATCACTCTTATCTTGTTACTGGAAAATAAAATATGTAGATGTGATCAATTACTTATGGCAGAGGGCCATAGTTTTTGGAAACACAATGTGAGGTGAGTGAATTTGTCAATAAAACTCCAGCCCCCTGGAGCTGGCTCATCCAAGTGACTCTTTTCAAACAAACTGCAGTCAAACCGACTAATACGCTCTGGCTTTGCTACTACTAACTCCTTGTAGCACAATAATGCAAGTCTCATTTGGCTTCGCCAAGAGTAATAAAATAAAGCATTTGAGCTGAAGAACAAGAAAGAGAAGGAAGAAATGCACAATAAATCCAATTAGCATTTAAGAGAGAAGGAAACTTTTAAAATGGTTGTTTAAGCCTCAAATCCAGCCAAATAATAACCATCGTTTTAGAGAAAGGCCAGCGTTTCAGCAGAAGAAGTACTGCACAGAACCTTGTGGGGTTTTTTTTATTAAAAAAATGTTAAGTACCCAAGACCTTCTTAACATAGGGAGAGAGATAAAGGCAATGAGCAGATATTTTAACTGAACACACAGCAAAAGAAAATTCAAATAAGTACAGCAACTGCTGTAGCTGGAGATGAAATTAAGCCCCTTCGATGTATATACATACTTCACATTTATTTCTGAACTGGTGTCTCTTAAACACTGCATCTTGCATAATAGAAAAGACAATTAAACAGAACAGCATGAGGCTGTCAATCACTCCAGCAACCCACAAAAGCATCTACCATCAAAGTAAATAACGTAAAATGTACAAAAGCGAGAGAGAGAGAGTACCTTTTATCAAAGCAGATAAATGTAAACATGAAAAGAAAGCTAAGGTTGAATACTGACTGTCATAGAACAAAAAAGGCACCCCTCCCCTGGATTAAATGGTGTATTCATATCATCAGAGCAGGTTGTCCACGTATTTCACACAGGAAGCAAAAGATAGCATTCATTAGCGTTTCAGAAAGTGTTTTGCAGACATGAGTGCTATTAGGCTGGATTTTGGGGGAGCTGGTGGTATACAAATAAATAGTCCGTCACAGCTTATCGTCACTTTAAGATGCATGTGCATGCTGCAGTTTACTGAAACATGATTGGCTGCTACATAAATCAATCTGATAGAGATCAGCTCCGCAAAGAAAAGATAAATCATTAGCCTGCACTTTTTGGAATGTAATTCATTTTAGATAGTGATTATTGATGATTTAATTCCACTGGTACATGTACACGTCTAGACCATGTTTTGTACTGAAACCATTAAAGCAAGTTAACAAATTCTTTCCAAGAAATGCCACGAGGAACTAGTGATTAAAACCATGTAAATGGAACATTATGGATGAGATTTTACATGCTGAAAAGTTAGCAAAGCCCAAGTTATGGCTCCCACAGCAAATATATGTCAAAGCTCTTATACATATATAATATTTCCTATTGCTGGGTGGTTGTGACCATTTTTCTACCTAAATAAATGTCTTTGGTACGTAAGTGTTACGTGTACAAAAGATGACCACTCTGGGAGACATAACTCTGAATTCCTACAATTTTGGCCATGTTAGAATGAAACCATGAGGATGCACTAATACTTTTGCATCTGCCAAAATGAGTAATTAATTTGTGTTGGATAAATTTTCTCCAAGGCATTTTTTTTTTCATGTCAGGGCTGAGCCCTAGAATGAGAACAGAGTGAGAATGCCTCTGTTCATATACAAATTGTTTTATTAACTAATTAAATGCATATAACCGCCCAAAGATAAATATTCCCTGGCTGGTTTAAAAAGTAAACACTGTTAAACATATAATATGTGATAAATAAAATCAACAAAAGGCAGCAAATAAAAACCCAGGTTTAAAACACAATTTAAAATCCTTTGAACTGGGTGAATTATCAGGTTTCACCTGGCACCATCTCCCCAAAATAGATAAATAAATCTCACCTCTGCGTAAACCACACATCTAGAATTAGAAAACAAGAGTTTCACACCTGACTATTGTGTTACCAGATATAAAGGAACACAAGGCTCCTGTAAAAGAGGGGTGTCAGCGTATCCTGCAAAGCAAGCTGAATCTGGTGAAATTTCTTCTTTTATACAATTATGAAGGGTCCTATCCATCTCCTGTGCATGTGGTCTCCATCAATGCCACGTGAACATGTTACAAAGTAAGCATCTCATTCTCTCTCATAAGTTTGTCATTGTCAAATCGGGAATCCAAAATATAATTGTTATGTATGGCATTTTGAACTCACCTTCTTTTTGCCCATTTTGCTGGGTGACAAGACAGCAGCACTGGTGCGATGCAGTTTCATAAAACGAGTCATGTCTTGGTGCTGGGATGAGAGGGCAGTGGTCTCTACTCTCTCATAACTTCTTTGAGTAGAGATGGGTGCAAAAATCCTTCTGTTTCTCTCTGTATGCTGCCAACCGTTCAAGGGTCCACTTCTTAACATGCATAACATAGTTATATAAACATATTTCCGAGTCCGTAACCCTCCCTCCCAGCTGAGATTAGACAGGCCAATTCTCCACTGAACTTCTGGTGCCTGACAAAGACCATTATTTTTCAGCAGCTATTTTTGGGAACTTTTCTGTTCGTTGTCTTCATTGCACGCTCTCTATAATGTTTATGTACACCGCTTGCAAACTTAGGAAATTAAGGTATACCTTCAGTCAGTCAGTCAGTCAGTCAGCATGATCAATATGATACAACTGTTGATAAAACTGAACAGGGACAAATGTCTTTGCTTGAGATCCTTAGAATTCTAATACAAAAATGGCCTGATTCCTCTTTATTCTTCTGCCTACTAAGGAACCTGCACATTTAGCTGAAGGATAAACAAAGATCTGGGTAACCCTGGATTTTATATTTCCAAATACATGGGGTAAACCATTGCATGCCCCTTCTTCCCAGAAGCCCTGGAAGCAATGTAAAAGCTACAGAGCTCTTAGCAGTGCCTCATCGCAATGTCTGCTACCTCCTTCCACATTCCAGCTGAAGACTGCAATCAGATGCAGACTTCTTGGCTCAACATGGCTGAGCTTTCTTCCTACTTCCTTCCTTCCTTCCTTCCTTCCTTCCTTCCTTCCTTCCTTCCTTCCTTTTTATTTTTATTTACATATCATTTCCAACAATCATTTAACATAACTTCTTATCTGATACAATATTTTAAACGGCATCAACCTCTGATGATTTTCCGTTCTTTATCACTTATTCTGCATTTCTTAATTTCTCTATTACTCTTAATTATCATTAACTAATAATTCTCTTCATAGTCTTTCTTGCAATATTTCAAATAGTCCTCATTGCAGAACTTCTTGCAGTCCTCCTAGCGTAATCTGTTCTTTACAATTGCTTTTCAAATAGTTCATATATTTACTCCAGTCTTCTAAGAATCTCTGGTCCCGCAGGTTTCGAATCCTTCCTATTAATTTATCTAATTCTGCATAGTCCATTAATTTCATCTGCCATTCTTCTTTCGTCGGTAATTCTTCTTGTACCCTCTTTCTTTCTTATCATCTGTCCAAGTGAAGACATCTACAGAACCCCAAAACTTGCACAATATCTTGCAACTTTTTGGCACTGCCTTATGTATAGTTCGGGACGCGGGTGGCGCTGTGGGTAAAACCTCAGTGCCTAGGGCTTGCCGATCGCATGGTCGGCGGTTCGAATCCCCGCGGCGGGGTGAGCTCCCATCTTTCGGTCCCAGCTCCTGCCCACCTAGCAATTCGAAAGCACCCCAAGTGCAAGTAGATAAATAGGTACCACTTTATAGCGGGAAGGTAAACGGCGTTTTCGTGTGCTGTGCTGGTGCCGGCTCGCCAGAGCAGCTTCGTCACGCTGGCCACGTGACCCGGAAGTGTCTCCGGACAGCGCTGGCCCCCGGCCTCTTAAGTGAGATGGGCGCATAACCCTAGAGTCGGACACGACTGGCCCGTATGGGCAGGGGTACCTTTACCTTTTACCTTTATGTATAGTTCAGAGCTTAAAAGGGTTAGATGGTCAGTGATATCTGTAGCCTGTTCCATTATTATTGTTATTTTAATTGAATTTACATGCCGCCCTATACATGGAGGTCTCAGGTTCCTCTATATACTTACTTGGAAGCAGGCCAGAACTTGCTAGAACTCAGTTTCAGCACCTCTCAGGTGGGCTCTGGCATCTCTCAGGTGGGTGCCATTGCCATTCAAAGAGAACAAGGAATTACCCCTGTGCAAATGTGCATTGGATTGTAACTCTGCTACCTCTCTGGGTCTAGGAGAGGGGCACTGCAGCCCACCCACTAACTTTTCCCTGGCTCTCTGTCTCCCTGAGGCAGTTAGCTCATACTTCACGATAGGCATCCTGACTATACTTCCTTGGGGGAAGGAGATGTAGCTGAAATCCTCAGAGAGATGCATGAAGAATTCTTTGGCAGGGATGCTAGTCCTGTTGGCCAGAGCCACCTAACAAGACTCTTCTTGTGAACATTTGACATTGGGTTCAAAAGGATGCCCCTTATGCACAGCAGACATTGAAGCGACCAGAGATTTCTAGCAAAGATGCCCATGTTACTTTAGCGTTCTGTTGAATTTTTGCTTTTGCAGGTATGCCACTGTTTTAACAATTAAATAAATGCTGATAAATCAAAATTAGGCACAATTAATGAGGATGTTTTCCTGCACGAGCTGCATTGAATGAATAAGAATATTTGTGCTCTTGTCCTGCTTGCATTCTTGTTGATGAAGTTGGTGCGATAGATGCTTTTGCTCATTATATCTGGTAGGAAAAGAAACATTAGACCTTTCCAAAAGCATCAGAAGTTTGTTTGTTTTCTGATTACTACCACTTGCTATCTTTAAGCCCTAGCCATCTACCTTTCACTGTGTCTCACAGACCTAAAGTTATATTGCTACGATGTTTATAAGGGTGAGTTGGCTGAATTGCACCCCACAATTTCTAAATGAAAAATGGGGATGTAGGGAGTATGTTCTATGGCATATGAATGGTTCAATAAACTGATCTTTGTAGCATGTTGACCATTCCTGTGTGTTTTCTTCCAGAGAGTTTGCTGGGCTAGGTTTCTGGAAAAGCTGCTCCATTTGTATTGTATGTGTTCTGGAAAATAATAATAATAATAATAATAATAATAATAATAATAATAATAATAATTTATTTATACCCTGCCCATCTGGCTGGGTTTCCTCAGCCACTCTGGGCGGCTTCCAACAAAACACTAAAATACAATAACCTATTAAACATTAAAAGCTTCCCTAAAATGTTTTGTTTTTGTTTTTAAAGGCTAAGGGCAATGTCTAGTATGAGCTTTTACCTCTGAAAAAGTGTGATATATTCAATGTAAAAAAAAAAATCAATAAAATTAATTTTCAAAAAGATACAGGCAATTACCAATTTACATTCCAAAGCAACATGTTTTTACATGAAATCACATATATTTTAAACACCATTGGAAAAGCCTGCAAACACCCTCTAAACTTCTGAAAACCCTTGAAAAAGCTGGCAGCACTTATCAGATGCCAAACTCTGCCAAACTCCACCACAACCACTCTTTCCAAACCTCCAATTCTCCACAGGCCTAAACAGTTGGGGCAAGGGCTCCTGGGATTGCACTTGCAAAGCTTGTGGGATTGCTAGGTGCCATAGGAGCCAACTTCTAGGGACTGAACTCCCTTCACCCCCCATAAAATATTTGGTGCCCCCCAGTTGAGGGGTATTGCTATTCAAATGGTGTGCATTCATTGTGTCTTGTGATTCATAGAATCATAGAGTTGGAATAGACCACAAGGGCCATCGAGTCCAACCCCCTGCCAAGCAGGAAACACCATCAGAGCACTCCTGACATATGGTTGTCAAGCCTCTACTTAAAGACCTCCAAAGAAGGAGACTCCACCACACTCCTTGGCAGCAAATTCCACTGTCGAACAGCTCTTACTGTCAGGAAGTTCTTCCTAATGTTTAGGTGGAATCTTCTTTCTTGTAGTTTGGATCCATTGCTCCGTGTCCGCTTCTCTGGAGCAGCAGAAAACAACCTTTCTCCCTCCTCTATATGACATCCTTTTATATATTTGAACATGGCTATCATATCACCCCTTAACCTCCTCTTCTCCAGGCTAAACATGCCCAGCTCCCTTAGCCGTTCCTCATAAGGCATCATTTCCAGGCCTTTGACCATTTTGGTTGCCCTCCTCTGGACACGTTCCAGTTTGTCAGTGTCCTTCTTGAACTGTGGTGCCCAGAACTGGACACAGTACTCCAGGTGAGGTCTGACCAGAGCAGAATACAGTGGCACTATTACTTCCCTTGATCTAGATGCTATACTCCTATTGATGCAGCCCAGAATTGCATTGGCTTTTTTAGTAGTAGTAGTAATAATAATAATAATAATAATAATAATAATAATAATAATAATAATAATAATAATTTATTATTTATACCCCGCCCATCTGGCTGGGTTTCCCCAGCCATTCTGGGCGGCTTCCAAAAGAATATTAAAATACTATGATACATCAAACATTAAAAGCTTCCCTAAACAGGGCTGCCTTCAGATGTCTTCTAAAAGTCTGGTAGTTGTTGTTCTCTTTGACATCTGGTGGGAGGGCGTTCTACAGGGAGGGCGCCACTACCGAGAAGGCCCTCTGCCTGGTTCCCTGTAACTTGGCTTCTCGCAGTGAGGGAACCGCCAGAAGGCCCTCGGTGCTGGACCTCAGTGTCCAGGCAGAACGATGGAGGTGGAGACGCTCCTTCAGGTATACTGGACCGAGGCCGTTTTAGCTCCCGCGTCACACTGTTGACTCATGATTGATTATGTGGAGTGGAGCTTACCTGCCCCTCCTATTTTATTGGAGTTGGCGCTCTTGCTAGCCACTGTTTTCGGGCCGTTTTTGCCCTTCCTGGTCTTTTCAGGGCTGCTTTTGCCATTATTTAAAAGTCACATGTGCGCGGTTGCACGTCAATTGGATGCTTGTAAATTGGTCATTGCCTGTATTTAGTCGATGGGCTTTCTTAATTTTGCTGTTGGTGGGTAATGTTTTTGGCCAGTCTTCATCTCTGGAAGTTTAGAAGCATGTTGTTGCTAGGCAGGATTCTCACAGACCAGGAATCAGCCTTGAACAGTTTACATTTCAGGAAGGCCAAGAGGTTAGTGCAAAAGGAATCAGGGAGAAGAAATCATAGGAAATGAGTAACAAAATTGTTTGGGAGGCATGAGGGAAAAGGGTGGGGAGACTCTCAGATGCACAACAGCCAAATTCCTGACAGGCAGCTTTTGAAGGCATATGAGAGCCTTCAGGAAGTGGGAGAAAGAGAGGAGGTAACTGTGGGTTCTTTTTCTGCTGAATTTCCTGTTTTTCCATTGCAGCCTTTAAAGCCTAGGCTTGACAAGTTACCTGAAAACTCCCAGCTGGACCTGCTCTTATACCTTTAATGATCACACAACATGCAGAGATCAGCTGTGGTGTTGGGAACCAACATGCCCCCCTGATAATGTTGTTGAATGTTGTTACAGGCAGAGAAGTGGCAGCAGCCAGTAAAAGGTGGAAATCCCATTAAATGCACATGAGCCCTGCTATGGAAAAATGCCCCAGATCCGTATGCTCACTGGAACAGACGCATGAAATCTATGCAACTCAGGCTACCACACTACTGTTATTCTGTATGCATGGTATTTGTTTCCAGTTGGTTGCTTGTGGAATGGTAGCTTCAGTTGTGTAAAAGCTTTAAATTCATAGATCCTATGTGATTATTTAAGTGATTAGACTTATGTGGGACTTAGGTACACCAATCTTCCACTGAGAGACATCCAGCTCCAAGGGGAAGCTGGAACTAACCACAACATATAGGATACCACATAGCATATCAATATTGTGCCTAAATAGCATGTCTGTTAAGAGTGTAGCTGTGACAGTTTGAAGTGAGAGAACATGCAATCCCTTAACACAACATGTTAGGATTTTTGTTGTTCTGCGAGAGCTGTGCGATATAAATAGTTATGTCCAGTTTCATGAAAAATCACAGCAGAGAGATGAGGCAATTTTTAAACGGATAAGGTGTTGCTAAATTGTTTTTTTCTCTAAAAGGGTTTGAAGCATTTATGGCACTACTTAGCTATTTGATTGTTTGTGAAAGCCCGGCTGGGGCGTTGGTTTTGTTCTGGAGTTCAGCAAACCGAGAAGTTTTGCTGCTTCTTGTGCGTGAAGTTAATGGAAGTCTCTGTGAATGTTACAAACTTTTTCCAAGTGATGCTTTACAGAATTGCTTTTAAAAACCCCAGAGGGTAAATAGTATTCTCAGAATAAACAGAAAAATGCTGACCTTGTCAGTTTTAGCTGCTGAAAGCCAAGCTGTTTTAAGACTTGGAAGATCAAGGGTCATGGTTATAAACAACACAGATAAAAAATAAAAAAGAAGAGAGAGAAAGAGAGCTCGAAGGAAGAAAAAAGGACTACACCATGAATACAAGTAATAAATATGTTGACCTTGACAAAAAGAGAGAGAAGGAATGAGATATTTATGCAAAGAAGGAGAGGAAGAAAAAGAAAAAAGGGGGGGGGGACCAAAAAAGCTTACCAACTGTAAATGGAAAGTATTTTTTAGAGCTTGTTTAAAGCCGGAAATGAGTCACTTTAGCCTCATCTGTTTTTAGTTTCAAAAGGGGAGAAAGGTCAGAGCTTCTTTGTTTTAAATAAGCTGGTCACTCTTTCTGAAGTGTAACATGATAAGGTTCAAGAGCCTTAATGAAACTAGGCCTTAAGTGACACCCCGGGGTTGCAGCATCTCAGCAATGGCAGGACCATGCATTGAATGCAAGGGCATTTTTATAAACAAAGGCAAGGCAGAGTGTGACTTTGTTTGTGACCTTCATACCCTACTGCTCCTGTGGCAGCCATATGGGCAGTGTGATGGCTAAATTTGCCACCCCCAACTACCCTTCCCCCCCCCAAGCTGCACAGACGGATGTCCACAGCCGTGTTCATGGATGTGGACCACAGCTGTTGCTCTGATCTCTAGTCTACATCTCTTTCAAATTAGCTTCTAATAAGGCTAAAGCTGGGGGCTGGGTGGAAGAACCACTTTGTGTGACTGACAACTAAAATGCCATCTTTGAACTGTCATTTCAGGGAAAATGCAAGCCGTTCTGTGCTACCTGCCTTTTAGTGCCAATAAACATTTTGATGCTCCAAGTTTATTTGAAAAATACTCTCCCTTTAAATGTTGATCAGGAAGACCTTGAGTGACAGGGATCTCGCCTCCTGCCAAACTAGCATATCCTTGTAACTCTCTCTGCTAGCTTGGGGTAGAACTAGGAAAGCAATTGAGTTTCAATCATCGGTGGCAACAGCAAGTCTGGCGAAAACCACTGTTTGAAAAAAGGAGTCTGGCCTGGACTTAAATCTGAATCTTTTTTTTTTTTATAGATGAACCAGCCCCTATGTGCATGTAACATGGTACCATAAGTGGTTGCTTCTTGCTGTTTTTAGGAACAAACAATTTTTAAATTTAATATTTCAGTGTGTATAATATAAGTCTGTTTATTAGTTAGACCTTTGTGAAACTGTTTCTCATCAGAAACAAACTGTGGCAAGTGCAGAATAGATTGACCAGGAGCTCCCACTCCCCCCCCCTCACGTTCTCTCTCCCTGTTGATCAATTTAAAGGCTCTAGATGTTCCCCAGTTCTTGAAATAATGTGTAAGAGGCTCTGCCACCCTCCTTATGTTCGGAGCATGTCAGAAAAGGCCCCATGCACATCCTGATGTTCACATATCAAGTTCCTTTGCACAGGGGCCTGGTTCCCTCCTCATTATTTATATACCAAACACATAGAAGGCAGAGACGTGGTGACAGAGGCTGGGGCTAGGCATCCCTCTCCATTTACCCCCCCCCCAAGTACATGTGGGGTATCTGAAAGCCTCTTGTATCTTAAGGCTGTGTGATGACAAAACAGAGCCCAGGTAGATGTAGCCAAAAAGCTTGCTTCTCAATGACTGGGCTCATCAGGGACAGGAAGCAAGTTTTTAACTCCCATTATGCCCTAATAGATCCCTTTACTTTGATAAGTGAACTGTTGCCACTAGCTACAATGTGCGTGTGTGTGACATGCTTCAGGTACAAAGAGGGCAACATCTGGACTTCTGGACATTTGGGAGCCTGATCCTGACTCACAAGGATCCCACAGGATCCCACAGGATTTTTATGCCCCAAAACATGCTGTAATATAGAAGCCCTCCCTGTATTCACACAACATCCACCTTGAATATTTTGCTAGTTCAGCCTCATAGACCATAATGGCTCTACCCCAGCCTCATGCCTGGAGGTGTCGCTACTGCTCTGCCAAATTCTGCAAAGCCCTTTAAAATTATACACAGCTCCATGCCAACCCCTTTCATTTTAACCAGCAGCAAGAGAGAATCCCAGCCCAGACAAACAAACAACTAAACACAATCTTGGGTCACCATGGGGTTGTTCTAACATCACTTGTCCTGCTGCACATGGTGGTCCACAATGCTGTTGCACAAGAGGGAGGGGCCTCACCTGATTCTGCTGCCCCAAGGATTGGACTGAAAGAGGGATGGGAAACCTTGGCCGTTCAGCTATTGTTGGACTCCAGCAGGACCAGTGGTCAAGGCTGATAGGTGTCCAGCAGTATCTGCAGTGCTACAGGTTCCCCATCCCTGCTCTGGAATATATTCTCTTCTACACATGGCCTAGCAGATGTTTCCCAGACTGAAAGTACCTGCTGAAGAGAGCAGGGTTCACCTTGATAGGACACCCTATGAATAGGGATTAAGCAGACCCTACATGTGATGGGGAAAGCTTCCGTGACCTACTCTGTAGTTCGACAGTGTCTAATGATGCTGCAATGCAGTAGGAAAGGCTATGTGAGGATCTGCCTGCATGAGCACAATTCTTGACATTTTCTTTGACTTACTCCTACACCATTCCTCATTCTCGGCTACAACGGTTACAATCCTTTGCATTTTGAGTCATTCTGGTCCCCCCCCCTGCACCAGCACTTCAAGCCTCATGCTGTTATACAGCCTAAATTTACTTGTGAGGGGACATAGCAATGGCTTCCTCATAAGTGGTAAGCTGCTTGCCTTTCCTGGAGTTAATTTTCCAGAGGTGAGGTGTGGCATCTCACTGCTTGAGTACCAATGCCTACCTGAGAGGAGATATGGCAATTAATCCCTCAACTGGTTTGGAGGTTTTAGCAGGGGAGTGCAGCTATTGTATACTCTTGACCAAAGAATGGTACACTCCTCCTATCTGGGATGGTTGTCCTCTTCCACCGAGCGTGCAGCTTTGGGAGGGACGCACATGGAGCGGTGTGGGAGGAAGGGGACACCCGCCTAGCCAGCCAGATCAGCTGAATCAACCCTGGCGATCAATGGGGTGACAGATGTCGCAGCCAGATCGCCCTCACATTTTAAAATAAATTAATAATAATAATAATAATAATAATAATAATAATAATAATAAGGCAATTAATCCCTCAAGCCTCCTGCTCTTGACTCAATTAACATGAAGTACAAAGATAGTATCCCTTGATATGGCTACTGTTCTGCTGTCCTACCAGAACCCTGCATATAACGGCTATTTGTTTAGTCATTTGTCTGTTTATTAATTATTGGCCATTGATTATACCTGACTTCTGAGTGTCAGCATATCATGGCCAAAAGGCAATTTTTAAAGAAAGACAAATATCCTGAATAATACTGAGTTATACTACTTAAGTTGGGACGCGGGTAGCGCTGTGGGTTAAACCGCAGAGCCTAGGGCTTGCTGATCAGAAGGTCGGCGGTTCGAATCCCCGCGATGGGCTGAGTTCCCGTTGCTCAGTCCCTGCTCCTGCCAACCTAGCAGTTTGAAAGCATGAAGTACAAGTAGATAAATAGGTACCGCTCCAGTAGGAAGGTAAACGGCATTCTGTGTGCTGCTCTGGTTCACCAGAAGCGGCTTAGTCATGCTGGCCACATGACCTGGAAGCTGTACGCCGGCTCCCTTGACCAGTAAAGCGAAATGAGCGCCACAACCCCAGAGTCGTCCGCGACTGGACCTAATGGTCAGGAGTCCCTTTACCTTTTTATACTACTTAAATCTCACTAACTCCATTGAGAGTATAGCTACATAGGTAAACCATTAAGCCCAGTCACGGACGCCTCTGGGGTTGCGCCGCTCATCTTGCTTTATTGGCTGAGGGAGCTGACGTTTGTCCGCAGACAGCTTCTGGGTCATCTGGCCAGCATGACGAAGCTGCTTCTGGTGAACCAGAGCAGCACATGGAAACGCCGTTCACCTTCCCACCAGAGCGGTACCTATTTATCTACTTGCACTTTGATGTGCTAGGTGGGCAGGACCAGGGACCAAGTAACGGGAGCTCACCCCGTTGTGGGGATTCGAACCACCAACCTTCTGATCTGCAAGCCATAACTGTACGCAAAATCACCACTGACATTTTTCTCCTTGAAAATGTTCTATTTTTACAGTGCCTGCCCTCAGAATTTGACTATAGGTGGCTAAAATTCTTGAGTGTGGATGGTATGGCTTCATATTCACATCAACAATGGAGGGTGAAATATAAATAGTTTTCTAAATTGACATTTGTTTGCCCAGTGAGATCAACTGCTTGAAATGAAATGGAAGATGTTTTCCTTGCCTATCACCCAATCAACACCATGTTTACTGATGAGGTCAATGGGATAGTTACAACCCACACATTACAGCCTGACACACTATTGATCTATTATGGGTTATCTATCACTCAAACCAAACATGTCAACTCACCTTGAAACAGCTCTGAAAAGAAACTGCCAGTTGTTGGGACAATCCAGGATCTCGTACACCATGAAATCCCAAGGCATGTGCATTTCTCTGGTTTGATGCTGGTTTTTGTTTGTTTTTTGTCTGTATCCTTACCATTTCTAAATAATTGCAAAAGTTGTGTATCAAGGTCATGCTGCCCTTCTAAAGCTGTAGTCTGTGACTTCAGAAGAAAATTCAGCCAATGCGAATTTTTATACTGTATTCCAGAATAGTAGCAGTAATGCTAGTGTGAGCCCTGTGGTACCTTAAAGGCTGACAAATTGTGGCAAAGGCTTTCAAGGGTCAGAGGGCCCACTGTGTTAGGAGCAAGAAGATCTAGACAAACATCTAGTTCAGGGATCTGCTTTAATGGGCTCTAGCCCAACAAAGCTGATACCACAATACATTTAAAGTGCCACAGAATCCTTTGTTGTTTCTGTCTTGAATATTTTGTTTTTATGCCTTTAGATACATCTTTCCACTCACCTCGATATAGAATAGGTGCTTTCTAATGTCTAAACACTCTCTCTCTCTCTCTCTCTCTGTGTGTGTGTGTGTGTGTGTGTGAGAGAGAGAGAGAGAGAGAGAGACATGCATTTAGAAGCGGATTTGAAAAGTACTGCTTTTGCCTAAACAAAGCTTTAAAAAAAGCTCATCCCATGGAAACATGTTAAAAATAAATGAGTAGATATATGCATGCTCGACTCATGAGAAACTAAAAACAACAACACACAGTTCAAGTTTCTTTTTAAAGTAACGTGGTTCCCCCGTGGGTCCTGCTAAATATTCAGCCAACCCTATGCAACAAGATGCTGGGTTACATCTTCCCTGGAATTATTTACATAAGCATAATTGCAGTGATAAATCCGCTTTGTCTGCCATAGTGTGAGATACGCAACCTGAACTTTCTCAGACAGGCCTGAAGTCTCTAACACCCCTGGCCCCTCTCTTGTTCTCCTCATTCATCAAAGGACCCCATGATCTCGCCTCAGCATTTGGGTGACAAACCCGGAGATTGCCAATTGTCTTGGAAATGTAAAATAAACACTTTTTTTCTACATATGTTAATGCCATTGTTTATTGACTACTTACTCAGCTTGGATGTAATTGGGGTCATTAGGGAAACATAAGCAGCTCAAAGCCTGTCAATACCTGACCTTTAAAATATTCAGCACATTCAGTGTTACATGATGTTTAACAAGCTCCCTTTTTCATGTGAATGCTGCCGTTGTTGCCATGCAAAAGGGAGAAAAGCATGCTGATTCTTCTAAAAGATAATGTCCCTAAAACTTTAGCGTCAAAAATAACTTGAAAAGGTATGTGTGCATTTTAGTATAAGCTAAAACACCTCTAAGAAGAAAACAGGCAAGATAAGTTTAGCTTCAATATTTTTATATACTGTGGCCATCTAGCAAATGGGACACAGGCGCAAGCCAGATTTTGGGCCCCCGGTAACTCCTTGGGAGAGAGGCAGAAAGAATCACTTATAAAGATACCACAAATGCACTGAAGTTATCAGGATGTGACATCAGCAAAAGTATGCATCCCAGCAGAGAGACAAAATTGCAGATGTTTAACAAGTGATTGTGGTAACTCAACCACAAAGATAGACTCAGGGAAGAAACCTCTGCATTTTGTTTACTTTGAGGAGTGGCTGTCTTCATATGCGCTGATCCAGAGATCCATGTGCATTTAGATGTGGCTGTATCTGTGGGAATCCACATACATTTCATGTGAGATGGGCTCTTCCTGGAATCTCCCATGCCTGGAACAGACACACGGATTTCAGTGGTACAGACACACAGCGAATTCTAGTCCCCAGTGGTCACTGCCCATTTAAACTGCAGTCTGGATGACTGGCTTTAGTGTGTATACCAGCTTGAGTGCTGAGTTGAGCATTGTGAATGTTAGGTCCTATTCATTCAAAAAGAGACACATGTTGCAAGCCCGACGAGGAAATAGAATATTTTGAAAGCTGATTGGTCAGTGAAAGTAGTAAGGAGGAATGTTAAAAGACAGAACCTTCGTGCCCAGACACCATTGCTTTATGCACATGACTAGGGCTACTGATCTCTCTAAAACATCTGCAGAAAAAATAGCCAATTTGTGTTACTCCAACAGAAGCATCAAAAAGTATTCCATTGGATCACAGTGGGCAAAAGTTACAGCAATGTCTTAAGTGGCAGTTCGGCTCCTCCTGAAATTCTGCTGACCACGATTTGTAAACCTAGGAAGGTTTACAAGTGATACAAATGAAAGCAGGGCATAGTTCCATTATTTCTTTGCTTGCACAAGTCAAATCAAGTGATCTATATCCCTAACTTCAGGTAATGGAAGGGGATTAACTTTGCTGTAGATAGATAATCACCCTGCCATATATCTGAAGATCCAAATTCTGGCACTAGAAAGGGGAGCTCACAAGTCCTGTGCAATGACAACTTTGCAATGACAATTGTGTGAGGGAGAAGAGTGAGGGTGTATGTACTCACCCTGCCGTCACACCCCATGCTGGCCGCATCCCAAGGCGTTTCCGTGGGTCTTCAGCAGGGTAGTTTGCTGAAAGACTTTGGATGTGCCTCTGAGCTGGAACATTGCATACTCATGTCTGGCAGCTTGCCCTGCTGCAAACCTGCTGTCAATCCTTGCATGCCCCACCCCTAAAAGAATGATCCTTGTAAACAATGAGGATCACTTCCTGGTTTAGAGACAAGGGACTTCAGCTAGATTGGTAAAGAAAAAGTGTTTTATATGTGTTGTATATGCATTATAACACTGTGACACCAGATGGTGCTGTTGGGTTCCGTTTTTGCCAATGCGATTTCTCATATAAAGTTTTCAACGTGTTTTCCTGAAACACTTCTTTGATGTGTCTAGAATAGATCCAGCCATGAAGAGGTAGGAATGGGAGTCCACCTCAAGCAAGGTAAACAGGGAGTCCCACTCCTCTGATCACAGTGTCTAGCAATCCCTCACTCCCCAGTGGGTGTCAGACCCTTTTTATCAGCAAAACATGACATGGGGTCTGATTGGTCATTGAATAGCAATTGTCACTCAAACCAGTATCTGGGATAGATCCATGGGCGTAGCCAGGATTTTTGTTAGGGGGGGGGCGTGTTTTTTTTAAGGGCGCAGGCTTTTGTTAGGAGGGGAAGAACCTCTGGTTTGTATTTATTTGTATTGATTTTTCTTGATTTAGGGGGAGACAGCTGCCCCTACCCCCCCTGGCTATGCCCATGGATAGAGCCCTTAAAAGTGAGCTGTTGAACACAAGCTGTCGTCCCCTTCGTACCATCGGGAGCCCATCAACCAACAAGGACCATCGGGAAACCAGTAACTATATTTGTTGCTTGATTGATTGATTGATTGATTGATTGCTATGTTGAAAGTAAATAGCTTAGGATCCGTTGGGCTTGAGCCACAGAGTTCCACTGGTTTCTGTGTTCTGTTTTGTTCATTTGTCTTCTTCGAATCCTTCTCTTAATCTTAATAGCATATACTTTTGGAAAAATTGGGGTTTGGAATGTGTGCTTGGCAAGTTCAATAATTATTTTAAATCCCTCCCCCCCTAGATCTCTTGGGTTCATATTGTAGGTACAGTATATAGGATAAGGACTGCTAACCTAAATATGCACTTAAATTACCCCCTCCTACCAAAAATATTGTGGCTGTCTGGAAGGTCTGTTGTGTAATAAAGGTAAAGGTACCCCTGCCCATACGGGCCAGTCTTGACAGACTCTAGGGTTGTGCGCTCATCTCACTCTATAGGCCGGGAGCCAGCGCTGTCCGCAGACACTTCCGGGTCATGTGGCCAGCGTGACAAGCTGCATCTAGCGAGCCAGCACAGCACACGGAAACGCCGTTTACCTTCCCGCCAGTAAGCGGTTCTTATTTATCTACTTGCACCCGGGGGTGCTTTCAAACTGCTAGGTGGGCAGGCGCTGGAACCGAGCAACGGGAGCGCACCCCGCCGCAGGGATTCGAACCGCCGACCTGATGATCGGCAAGTCCTAGGCGCTGAGGTTTTACCCACAGCACCACCCGCGTCCCATGTTGTGTAATACCCCACCCACCCACCCATGTTGTGTAATACCCACCCACAATTCATTTTATCATTCCCACTAAACTGGGTTTAGTGGCTTGAGAGCCGAGAAGCCTCTGTGCTTCTGCTGCAGGAATATTTCCTGTAATAATATTGTCTGGCGTTACAGTGATGGCTGGGCAATCCTTCTCCCTCACATAAAAAACATAGGTCAGGAGGAGGAGGTGCTAACCCCCACACTACTCAGATATAAGTTGGGATTGCATTTCTTCACTGAGCTACTTATTCTATTATAAATTGTTTTACTCTTTCTTTGGGTGGGGGTGGGAGACTAAGCCAGATAGACAATCAAATGCCTTACCAGAAACTTGTAAGATACGCTCAAATAGTCAAATGCTCAGTCGTGTCATTTATGTTAGAAACATGTGTTTTTCAGGGAGGGAAATTGTATTACTGCCCCATGCAGAAAACAATTGTTTTGAGCTGCTGGATAAGAGTCGGTGGCTGAAATAGGTCAGTTAACTAGTGCCCTCTTCTGCTTGACACTGGTCTCTACTGCCCTCTCCTCACCCCCTGCTTTCCTTCCAGCCGTTTCTGTTTTTTCTCTGCTGGATCCAGCAGGCCCTCGGACCCCTCAGGTCCCTTTTGTCAAACAAGCAGCTATCTACTATATTACAAGGCCTGAAGGTGAATGCATGGAGAGAGAGAGGCAGGCAGGCAGAGGAAGGGAAGGGAAGGACCGTCCTTGGGAAAAAGAAAGGGGGGGGGGAGAGAGAAAATATCAATCACGCAAGTCCAGCTATCTCAATTAACCCTTCCTTGAGCCGGGACCTCCTGGAGAAACTTAAAAAAAAAAGTTTGAAGGAATACAAGATGCTATCTGCCACAAGGATTACCAGTCTACATGTGGATCAAAGACAATTCCACATTTTACCCTAGTGATTAGCCATAATTAAATAAAGTAAGTCTGTTTAAACTTCATTAGCAGCAAGACGTTTGCTACAGCAGAGTGGGCACAAATCATCCATTCTTAATTAAAAGATAATCCACAGGATGACCATAATCTTCTTCTAAAAATATACCATTTCCCCCAGAAAGATTTCATCAAATAAGGATAAATAACAGTTTCTGCGTGCCGAAGCTGGGAAGGAAGGGAAGGGAAGCTTCTCTCGTTTGCCTGAGTGAGTAGCGAATGTGCCTGATAACATCACTTTGGCATGCTATTATCTAAAATGGTAGAATACCTCACTCCAGCAAAGTCTGACATAAATCTCTGAAAACAAAGACATTGCATATGTATGAGCTGAAACAGATATGTCAGGGTTGGTGCATTAATATTCCTGTCACTGGGGGGTTCTGAACTTTTAAGGAGACAATATCAATGCATTCAGGCTGTGGCTGGTGAAGGAGGGCAGCATTCAGGAGGACATATACTAATTAGGCACATGCAAACAGGATAATAATACTGGGAAAAAGTTTTGCTTCCAGCCTGCCTCGGATTTCCAGATGAGCTCTGCCTGCCTCTTTGTGAACGCTCCAACCAGGAATGAGTCATTCATGGAGCTGTGGCAATTCTTTCCTTCTACTTTGAGGGGCCGAAGAAGCAGAACCATGCTTCTGGCCTACTGATGCCTTCCCTATTACGAGGGTCTGCTCTGGATTTCTGAGAGATCTCAGAGTCCCAGAATCTTGCCTCCTTTTTTCCCTTTCCCCAGTGTTTCATATAAAAGATATCTCTCTCTCTCTCTCTCTCTCTCTCTCTCTCTCTCTCTCTCTCGTTATTACCATTCTTCTGGAAACAAACTATGTATGCAACCTCCTTAGTACTAAGGCTCTGTTCAAAAGGACATGTGAGGTTTCAAACACCCCCATGCGCAATGCCCCTCCATTTCCTCTCCTGACCTTTCATGTGTTGAGCACAACAGCTGCAGGGAGATTTTAGCTGTGACTGCGGTTAGACTCTTCCTGCAAGCTCTCATGCTCAGTGCATTAATGGTGGTAGAGGAGGAGCTGGATATGACATTTTATTTATTAATTATTACTTTTACATCCTACTTTCTCTCCAAGGAGCTCAGAGACTCCCGGTTTTATTCTTATAAGAGCATCGTGATAAAGGTTAGGCTACGGGGCAGTGACCTTGTGGTCATCCCATGAGCTTCATGGATATGAATCCTGGCTTCCCAGATCCTGACCCAACATTCCAAGCATGGGAATCCCCACAAGGACATTTGGGGTAGGGATGGACCACACATCCCCAGGCCCATAGGCAGTGTGAGCACTCCCATTTCTTTGGAATGCGTGAAGAGAGCTTAGCTGTAGTGCTTGTCAGTCATAAATAGGAGCAGGGCTTTTTTTCAGGGGGAACTCGCTGGAACTCAGTTTTGGCACTTCTCCAGTGAGTTCTGAAACATCTCAGGTGACTTCTCACAACTCTCAGGTGGGTGCCATTGCCATTCTAAGAGAAAGAGGAAGGCATTCATGATGAGTTCTGGCACCTGTTTTTTTTAGAAAAATCGCACTGCACAGGAGGTTTGAAATAACCGATTCTGAGTGTGTGTGTGTGTGTGTGTGTGTGTATACATATACAGTCCCTATAAGGTAAAGGTAAAGAACGTGGTGGCGCTGTTGTCTAAGCTGCACCCCTTAGTCACCTTTGACTGGACTTAACCATCCAGGGGTCCTTTACCTTTTACCTTACAGTCCCTATAGGAACACTGTGACTTCTGGGAAGGCCCTGAGTGGATGTGTTTTTATTCCTTGAAGACAGGAACAGATTTTCCATTTTCTACTTTTTGAGGGGAAATCCCACAAACTGTCCTAAAAACCCCAACCTTCTAGCTCCTCTCTTTTTGGTTTTACTATGCCACTGTGAAGACTAGATTTTAAAAAAAGAAAAAGAAAATGAACACCAAGATCACCAGCAGATGAACTATTGAATTTTGTCCCATTATGGCCATGCAGGTCATTCAATCTATTGTCTATAGATTACAAAAGGAAAGTGAAAAGAGTAAGTAATCAGCCATAGTCATCTAGGCTTCCTTGAATTTTGCTGTAATAATAATCCATAAGATTTCAATCTAAAGATTAGGCAGGGGAAAAAATATTGCTCAGTTTTGTAGTCACTTGGAACATATGTTTCCAATTACTCTGTAACAGTCCTCATTAAAAGTAACAACAGGGTCTAATTGAGCAGAGTTCTTTTTTCCTTTTTGCCTTGTTGCTTTAGGGATGGAAATGGTCGTGTTGGTACATGCAGTGCTCAGTTTCTAAAATGATAAATGCTCGTGCACAGTCCCATGCTGCAAGTCATACTCATCAACTGGGGTTTCCCTTATTCTTGCTAGCATCTGCTTTTCATGCAGAAGGTCCCAGTAAGGCTGGAAAGATCCCTGTTTGAAACCCTGGAGAGCCACTGCTAGTCAGTACTGACTCTGAACCCATGTGGCTGTTGGTGTTCTCCATGCTAAGAGCTTATTAGCACATCACTTCCAGTGCTGTTCCTACAGTGATGAAAGAACACATACATATTGATTGGTCCTTGTGCAAATCAACTTTGTGCCACTGTGCAACTG